TTCAGAGTATCCTAAAACGACTAAATCGCCCATATAGATAAAGGCTTGTGCTGGTGATAAGCCAGAAAATGCATAGGTCATCACTCTTTGGAAAGAATTTGGTGCTATTTTTAAGCCATGAGTTAGTCGTTTGAAGCAACATGAGTCATTTGTGGAAAATGAAGTAAAGGCTCTGGCACATGTGAATAGTGTTTTTTTTTTTTTTAATAAACTGCTGAAATATTTTTGTTGCTGATTTCTTGCTTGCAGTACGTAATATCTCCTGGCAGGATCGCCAATTGTAGTTAACAATATATAAATTTATTATAAAAAAATGTTTAATCTAAAATTCCAAATGAAGTTATGTTGTTTACAGCTCAAGAAAAATATTTGAAGTAAGTAAATTTTCTTTTTGATTTACAAACAACAAAAATCACTTAGTTCTAAAATTTCATAATTACAAAGTTAAAAATGAACAAAGTGCAATAAAACTATAAACCCTATACATGCAAATTTTAATTTTTATATTATGTTTTTGTTATAATTAAAGAATGGCGTTTTTGTAAACCATTTGATGGTTTTATTAAGTGTACTTATAAACATGTTTTTTTTCTTTTCTATGTGGTATACATACGAAAATACATACATACATATATGTTTGCACATAAATTTACTTTTTTTCAAAAGAAAATATTTTATGTTACTACTCAAAATTATATTTATTTCTGAGCATTGTTAGAAATTAAAAAACTTATTTTTTACTTTGCTTTTGTACTGCTCCGTACTTGCTCCTTTGGGGAGCAGCTAACTCTCCGTCCCGTTGGGTATACGTGGGAGTTCACGTATTCAAAATGAAATGCATAAAAAGATTTGCAAATGACTAATTTGAAGGGGGGGCGTGCGCGTTGTCCGACTTTAGTAGCCGAACTGAGCTCGAACTAATTTGGCACGATGATGGCAGGCGGCCGTTTGCGCTGGGGAATCATTTTCGGAGTTGCTTCGACTCCGCACAGCTAAACAAAGATTTTTGCGAAAATATCAATGGCTGAACTTAACTTGCGCTCAGCATCACAATCTTCTATACTCAGGATAAAAGGCGAATTGGAAGCTGAAAATTATGCACCTGGCAAAGTTGAAATTGAACATACGGTGGAATTGCTTTCCACGCACTTTACTCGTTTCATGTATAACCATATCGTGTTGGTGGGCGCAGCCAAGCCCGAGGAGCTTGTTTCCCATGACGCAAAAATGGAGCTAGCCTATAGAGTGGTGTCAACTAAAATGGAACGGTTGCGAATGGCTGTAAGAGAAGATGTGGCTCCGGTTCGCAGAATGGCAGAAATGAAGCTTTACTCCATTAAGGTACCGATTTTCGATGGTCAGCAAGAGAACTGGCTTGTGTTCAAGGATATGTTCGAATCCCTTGTTCACGACCGAGCAGAGTTCGACCAAACGTATAGGCTTATTCGTTTGCGCCATTGCATAAAAGCGAATGCTGTACCCATGGTAGCTGGCGTTTGCACAGGGAGTTGCGAATAGCTTTGGGCAGAGCTAAAGCGCAGGTATGATAATCCACGACGCTTAGTTGAAGCACACATAAATAGACTACTGGATCTGCCAAAACACCCAAGTGAATCAAAGCGTGGAATACGCAATGTATCGATGTTGTGTGTAGTACATTGCGTGTCTTAAATGTGATGGGCCTACCTACGGATCAGTGGGATGCCATTATGTACCCAACCCATCATTCTTCGGAAGCTGCCGTCCGCTACAGTCGCGCACTGGAAAGCCACTCGGATAAGCTACCTGAACTTCAAGGAATGTTAGAAGAGGTCGAAACTTACGCGGACACTCTCCGTAGCGATTCAATGACGTAGGAACGTCGCCAGCAACAGAGGTACACCCCTGACTGTAAACTGATCGGTTAAATTGAATATATACATTGAGTTGCTTTCTAACTCTTTTAGAAGTAGTCCTAGGCAGTAGTCCTGAAAGCAGTAATAAATTGGGCACTTGAAGAGCAGATGCTCGAGGCTTTCCATTTGGTCTAGATTACACTGCATACATAAAACATTTGGGTCTATTTTGTAAACCAGGTCTTTAATACAAAACCTTATTCCCGTTAAAGTGAATTCAGACTACAGATATTTCCGCCTTTAATTATTATTTGCTTTTTCCGTACTTTCAAGTCATTCACAATTTAAATTCACATAAATGCAGTGTAGCCACTTTGCTAGAAAGCCCTCAAAACGTGAGGAGTTTTTCACTGTTCACAAAGAATTTAATAAAAAAACTTGGCCACTTTGCTAAGGTTTCCTGTTGCCGCAATGACATGTTCACAATGTTCCTTGTTTACAAAAATTTTGTTAAATTTTTGTTTGCGAGCAACATAGTATTTAATATGGTGATTTATTTAGCTATCATCTAATTGTACCTAAATTGAGTTCAGTGTACGGAATGTACCTTTCGGTTCGAAAAAGTCGGAAAAAGGTACAATTGCACCTGCTTTTCCATCCCTGATGTAGTCGGCCCTGACTTATATGATTATGCGCCACTCAATTCGAAAAAAGTGCACACGTCGCACATAGGGGGTATTTGGCCGATTTATGCGATAATACTACACCGGCAGATATAAAGAGCTTGGAGCATTTTTTATGTGTCCTGGTGTTGGTTGATTTTCCGACAGGGTGGTAAGATGATTTATTTTGGAACGAATTTCCGTCATCCCTTGT